GGGTGGGAAAATGTTTTAAGGGAGGGTCAAACATAGTAGTGGCTGAGTCACATTTAGCTGCAACCTACTCCTGGTGACAGTAAATCGTAGCTGGGCAAAGGACTGAACAGAGCTGCATTCAGTGGCTGCCAATTAAATGATTGTGAAGGCCTGTTTTATGTCAGATTGAACTATTGTACATGGTATGGCTATAAATCTATGTAGGCTGGTTAGCGTGGTCCACACACAACAGTAATGGTGTTAATGACTCAGTGTGAATTTCAGGGAATTAAATGTATCGATCAGATCATTTCAGCAAGGCTGTATCATACATTTGTAACAGGAAAGCAAGTGAATTGCTTTTACCAAACATGAATTCAACTCAGTGCTTTAACTGTGCTTACAAAGAAATACTGGACCTTCATGGTAAGATGCTGTTGACACATGTACTGTTCTTGCTATTTCCCTGCAATTACTCCCTCCACACCGCAGACGATCTGATGAAACCATGATCAGTCATTTTGCCAGTGTAGTCAGGATGAGCCTTTTTGCTAAATCACTCACACTAGGCCAGCATTTGATGGCAAAGCACAACAGAACCAAAAGAAACTTTTATGTGAAAAAGAAAAGATGCAATATTGCCAGGAAAACAAATCATCCAGGAGCTGAATGGCCATCTCCCTATGGCTCCTTCCAGGCCCTCTGTGCAAATGTGGATGAATGGAACTTGCAGAGAAAATAAGATACACAACTCCTGACCCCTCTGCATGAAGCATCTCTGGTCCTTAAACTGCATAATGGATTCTTGAATCGACAGCAAGTCTTACAAGGAATGGAATCATTCAAGACTATTATTATTAGCATCTAGAAACGCCAGTCAAGGCTCAGGGCCCTCCTGATACCAGGCACTGTACTGGCATTTAACAAAGAAGACAATCTCCACACCAGGCAGGTCACAGTCTGCATGTGCAGTTGGTGGAACACACACATAGGCAGGGGCAGGCTGGGAGGAAGCCATGAAAATATTGCAGAATTTAGCAGCAAAGCACTAGCCATTGCCCAATGGTAGTGACCTGTAGGCATCACAGCAAAGGCAGGTTTGAAGGAGAACAAGGTGGAAGCAGTATTGATGTTGACTGGAGTTTCCCCAGGCAAGCAGGAGGGCACAGGGCCTCGGCACTCTCCTGTCGAAAATGCGAATTCTGCTCATTGGGGATTAGGGATGTAAGTGACTTGTCAACTAGTCGATTATCCAATAAGCAAAAGCTTATCAGATAGTCCCTCAACTAGTCATTCCTCCCCCCTCCCGCCCCCACTGCCTCACTCAGAGGCAGCAAGGGGGAGGGAAGCAGTAGCCGGTGTTGGGGAGAACCAGCTTAAAAGCCGGTTCCCCCAGCATTGTTTCCACAGGGGGCAGAAGAGGCTGGGGGGCAGGGCCGGTCCGAGCCTTTTATGCGCCCTGGATCTGGGCGCGCAGTGCCGCCCCCAGGCGTAGGGTGCATGTGCGGGCCCCCCCAGGGTGCGCAGGCCTGCCCCCCGGGGCACACGGCGCATGTGCGCGCCGGCCACGACCACTGGCATGGAGCCTGGGGCCCACCCCTGGGGCACACGGTGCATGCGCAGGCCTGTCATGGCTGCTGGTGTGCAGCCTGGGGCCTGCCCCTGGGGCACACGGCGCATGCGCTGCCCAGCCCAGCCCGGGTAGTGCTGCTGGCATGCGCGCTTGGCCATGCAGGGCCCCGCAGCCATGGGGGGGAAGGGCACTGCTGGCTGGCGCCTCAGGGCCGGCGCTGCGGGAGCTGGGCACGCGGCTCCTGATGGCAGCTGTAAGAGATGCCGTGCGCGCCTTACAGCTGCCATCAGGCGCCCCTCATCGGGTGGTGCCCTGGGCAGCTGCCCTGCTCACCCGCGCTTCTGTCCAGCCCTGCTGGGGCGTAGCAGGGACTGAGCACGAGCTGGGATGGCTCATTGCCAGCTCATGCTGGGTTTTCCTGCTGCGCTCCAGCCTTTTACATTTAGGGCTGGTGCACAGCGTGGCGGCGGGGGAGGAAGACCCAGCATGAACCAGGAATCAGCTATCCCGGCTCACGCAAGGTCCCCCTGCTGTTCTTCAGCCTTTTAAATGTATTAAAGGCCTGTTGGTCAACAGGCTCTTAATACATTTAAAAGGCAGAGCCACAGCGGGGTTAGCCCTCGGGGCTCCCCCACTTGTTGACTAATCGACTAGTTGGTGGAAAATCCACAGTCTAGTTGATCAGTTGATTAAACGAAATTTAACATCCCTATTGGGGATGAAAGTATTTTGTCAACATAATTGCCAACAAACAGCAGCGACGCTGCCCGACCTCTAGTGACATGACTGCGTCGACACAGCTGTGTCGCTAACAGCTGTGTAGACAAGCCTTAGGTAGGGTGTGTCTAGACAAAAAGGTTTGTCGACATAAGTGGACTTTTGTCGATAAAACTACACCTGCGTCTACTCTACCGCCGAGTTCTGTTGACAGTAAGTTTTGCTGAAGACGATAAACCTCATTCTACGAGGAACAACGCCTTTTGTTGACAGAGTTCTGTCAACAAAAGGCGCTATTGCATCCACACTGTGCTTTTTCAAAAGAGAGCGTCTAGCCTCTCTGTCAAAAAAGCGGCTTGCTTTGTCAACAGAACTGGCTGTAGTCTAGATGCTCTTTGTTGACAGAGGCCTCTGTCGACAAAAGCCTGTAGTCTAGATGTACCCTAACTGACAAAGGGCTGTAAAGGCAAAATGCAGGAGCCTGTTTATGCAGAGGAGAAGGGGATGCAGTGGCAAGACACAAAGGGGTGCATGAAGTGAAGCGATGAGCCAGATCCCCTTTATACTTCTCTGCAGCTCAAAATATCCTACTTCAAAAGCATGGGCAGGAGCCTTTCCCAGCCTGTTCCAAAATAGAGTCTGCCCACCCCTGGGGCAGAGTCAAACCTCACCCCGTCTTTGGGCAGTGATTATAGTGACAAACAAAATGTCACCAGTAACGTAACGATGTTCAGCTCAAGGCCTCCCTTGCCCCCCGGCTGCTCCCAAATGCCACCGTCTGGACTTTTCAGCCCTTGCCCTCCAGCACCACTCCTGCCTCCACCAGCTCTGGCAGGATAGGCATCAGCATAACCTGATTAACCTTTTCCTGCCAGATGAACACCTGCTTACAGGGTGCTTCAGGCCAATTCTACCCATATCTTACCGTCCCTCACCTGAAACAGGCAACTACAGGATCTTCAACCAACGAGGAACAGCAACAGCCGATTGGCAACATATGCAATATCCAGCATTAGGACCAAGAGGCACCCTGCCACCACCGACTGCAGACTGAACATCTGTGTGCCAAGCATTTCTGCTTTGGGCTACGTGCCTACTGCAGACTGTATTGACGTTAGTCATTGCCTCTGCTGCCAAAGCTTGGCTATCTGGCAGGGCATACGTTGCAGCAAGTCCCCTGTCTCCTCCCTCCATGGCATACTCCACACATCACCCTTGTTTTCTCCACCCTACAGCACACCAATATTATACTAGCTCTATTGCTCATAGCGTCTCAGCAGACAGCTCCACGTCACCATCAGCCACTCAAAACAAACCCTGGCAGAACTGAAACTAGGTCTTCTCCTGTGCAAGTGATCACCCTGAACAGGGGGCTGTCCTCTAGCACAGTGGTTTTCACACTTTTTTTCCTCACGACCCAGTTGAAAGAAATTGTTCTTGCCCCCGACCCAACATAATTTGACTAGAGTGTAGGCACTGAGGTGCGGCTGAGGATGAGAACTTTGGGGTGCATGGGGGGCCTGGCTTTGGGGAGTGTCAGGGCTGGGGCAGGAGAGGCTTACTTTGAGCAGCTTCCAGTCAGTGGTGCAGGGGGTGCAAAGGCAGGTTTCCTGTTTCTGCAGCACTGCAGACCATGCTGTGCCCCAGAAGCAGCCAACAGCAGGTTCCCACCCAATGGGAGCGTGGAGTTAGTGCTCAGGGCAGGGGCAGTGTGTGGAGCCTTGTGCACTCAATCTTTCCCTCACCTAGGAGCCAGGCCTGTTGCTGTCTGCTTCTTGGGTGCAGTACAGGCCTTAGCACCTCCCACTGGTCACCTGATCACCCTGCAGCAATGAGACCCAGCACCTGACTTTCCACGACCGAGTACTGGGTCACGACCCATAGTTTGAAATCCACTACTTTATAGGGGCATAAAAACTAGTGCGCACACCGTGGCTACGTCCACACTGCAGGCTTCTTGCACAAGGACTTTTTGCACCATAGTTCTTACACAAAAAGCTCTTGAGCAAGAGCACGTCCACACTGCCATGTGCTTTTGCGCAAGAACGTCCATGGCAGGGTGGACGCTTTCTTGTGTAAGAAAGCTCTGATGGCCATTTTAGCCATAGGAGTTTCTTGCGCAAGAAACCCCCGTTCCCGTCCACACATGGCTTTTTGCGCAACAGCTCTTGCACAAAAAGGCTTATTCCTCATAGAAAGAGGAATAACTCTTGTGCAAAAAGCCCTGTGTTCTTACCATTTACTGTACTTTTTCTTGTGCAAGAATGTACTTGTGGTGTGGACGCTCCGCAAGTTTCTGCGCAAAAACAGCCATCTTTGTGCAAAACTCTGCAGTGTAGACCTAGCCCATGTGTTCTCAGAAAGCCCTGAAGGGGAGAGCTCAGACTCACAGTTCTCCATGGCAAGTTCTGACTCTAGATGGCAAGCCAAAAACAAATAAAACCTCCCCAAACCCAGCATGCACTAACTTAAAAGAAATTGTTTAATTTCACAGATCTATCTGGCCATGTGCAAATTAAAAAAAATGTTTCAAATAAAATTGCTAGAACTTTGACACTTCTTAAAATATACATTTTATTTTCTGGTGTTTGCTGTGAATGTTTCATTCAAATAGTGAAGGTACAGAACCTTTACAAACTTCTGGAGCTAAAGATTTTTTTTTTTTCATTGCAGAGGAAAATACATAGGCTATAAAATGTTGAAATTCATGAAATATTTAGTTTTGCCCCACCATGGTGGAATGCTTTGTAGAAATACTGTATAAAATAAGGCAGACTTTTGATTGGGAATTTAATTTAAAAATTACAGGGAAGAAAACAAAATTAATATCCCATTATTATAATTTATTCTTTAGCAAGAGTAAAAACTTTGGGAAGATCTTGTGGTCACCAGTAGGGAGTAAGAGAGAATTGCTGGAGTTCTGGTGCTTATACAGTATGCATGTCTTGTTTATTTTACTACTCTCCAGTGAGACCTTTTAATAAAACTTATTTTAATTAACATAAAATCAGACAATATTTAAACATACACATCTATCCTTACAGTGCAATAAAAATGTGTCATTGTATAGTATTTTGTATTTGCATTATGAAAATAAAAGGTCTGTACATCAATTAACTGTATATTGATGAGTATGAATCATGTAAATTTGTAATGCATCTAAAGTTGGCTTTGGCTTTTAAGTATTTATAAATTCATAGAAAATATTGAACATCTAATAAAATAAATAAAACATATTTTAATAATAGATGCTAACGATCAACTTCAAAAATTCTTGTGTTATATTTTACATTTGCTACTAAATTTCTTTAAGAGAACTCACTTTCAGTAGTGCTCAGAAGTGAATGATTGCACCTTCTGTGATGTGAAAAAATAGAGTACATCTATTTTTCATAGATCAAAAACTCCTTCATGAAGAGTTGCATTTTAAATGTCTGATTGGTATATGTAACTGTTCTTAAGTGCTTATAAAAAGCATGGAGCTTTCTCATAAAAGCTGTGAGTCACTATTAACAGACACTTCTCCTTCACTTGCAGTTGAGGACTAAGCAAAATCTTCTATAGGACATCCCTTTTCATAAGGATGTCTTCAAGCTTCACATACTGGTATGAAGATAACACAAAAATATGTTCACTAATAGACCCTCTTCAGTACAGGTACTGCAGCAATCCAGTGTAATGCAGCTTGATAAGTTCATTTCATTTGAGTCCATACACGGCAGTTTGCAGCAGTCAGCTGCTGACCTCATGTTCTCTTCAATGCAAAAGGTCCACAAGCACATGGGTTAGCCTTACTGTAATACTGAAGGGATCAAAACTAATTTGAAATCACATGAACAAAAGTGAGCTTGAGTAAATATGCATCTGAACAGGTGAGTTACACACGGTGGCAATAGTTGCTATTCAGGTGGTGGTCGAAGGCTCCGTAGCTTCTTGTCATCTAGACCTTTCCAGTATTTAAAGTTATTGTCCAGGTGCTGCATCAAATTTGGCAGGTCTGCAAATGCTGGGAAAAAAAGGTCACAATGTGGTCAGCCAGCGGAACTGAAATGGTCCCATGATTCTACTTGCTTAAATAAAATTTGAAATGCCCCAGGAACTGCATTAAGCAGGATGGTTTAAATCTGTTACATTGATAATTGAAAAGGATTGTGTCTTACAGCTCTCATCATTTCTCTTACTTCTTCCCAGGAGAGTTACCACAATACTGTAAGTACATTTGGTAACTGTATTGAAATCAGGAAAGTCCCAGTTTTCTGCAAAGGACATAGATATTGTGACTGTAATGTTTATGCTTGATAAAATCCCGGTTATATGCACAGCTGCTTTGCCATTCCTGAGTGTGTCACAATTCTGACTACTTGTATCACTAACGAGAGCAAAGGAGAAGAAATGGTTGATGGTGCAAGCACTTCTCAAAAAGAATTCAACCTTTTTTTACTATAGCATTTTTAAGCATTAGAAAATTGTTCAAAATAATTAAAAATATGTAGGCAAAGTGAATATGCACAGTGTGGTAACAAAGTGAGCTCATTTAACATGTCCTGCTCCTTTAGGGAAAGCAAGCTAGTCATTTAACAGCTGAGAAGAAATGAAATTTTGCTTGATGTTCACTTATTAAATGCTATGAATAATTCTTATGACTTATAGTGTCAAAGTACATGTTAGCATTAGTTAAGCTATTGAAATGTAGCAAGTTTCCATGTTACTTTTTTCATTTGGAGTCACAATGAAGTGATTTTATCTCATAGGATGCTGTGATACAAAATACATTGTAGAAGCTTGCTTACCATCCCAAGCATCAAACATATCCGTGATGAAGTAATCAATGAAGGATATTTGGGATTTGGGGATGCTACAAGTATTTCTGTCAAAAACAGGCATCACCACAGGTAAATTTTGTCTCTTTTCTTCATCTGTCTGCAAAGAAAAGATTTTGCAATTATTGGCTGACACGTTCTACCAGTGAACTCCCATTAGCAAGCAGCAAAATGTTGGCCACCAACTGGTGCATGCAACTGTTGACTAAAAGGAGTAGCATTGTATGGGCAAATTGGATCTAATTATGTATATGGTCAGGAGAAACAGAACACTGAACAATGCCCTCACTGGCTCCCACAAAGTGACACACATATCACAAAGCTAGTTTTGTGGCACTTTTAAACTTTTTTAAAAGCTGTGCTGGAGTAAAAGATTGTCAATCTCCACTAGAAATGGAGTCTCGGGAACATTTCTTACAAAAGGCAGGAATTTCTTACAAAACATTTATTTTACTTCAGAGGAATGCAGGCCTAAATTTAGAATTTGGCCATGATCTGTAATGGTAGAAGACCAGACACATCCCACCAAAAACGCAGCCTCATAGGGGCTTGTGCCAACATCACTTTATTCCTTGTTGTCTTCTTATGTGCTCCCTCACTAACACCAGTACAGGCAGTCCCCGGGTTACGTACAAGATAGGGACTGTAGGTTTGTTCTTAAGTTGAATCTGTATGTAAGTCGGAACTGGCATCCAGATTCAGCCGCTGCTGAAACTGACCAGCGCTGACTACAGGAAGCCCGAGGCAGAGTTGCTCTGCCCCGGGCTTCCTGGAATCAGCTTCTGATCAGTTTCAACAGGCTGAATCTGGATGCCAGTTCTTACATAAAGATTCAACTTAAGAACCCCAGGCGTCCCCAAGTCAGCTGCTGCTGAAACTGATCAGCG